TTAACTTTAAGCCCTCGTTTCATGATAAAATTGGAATTTAGGTGATATAATTTCATTTTGCGAAGGGAGAAAAATCGGACTGAAAACTAACGAAGTTCTTACTTGAACCAAAAGGTGAGTGATGCATGCTAAAGCTTTTTATTCCCCAATATCTAAGAATCTYTACCATTACTTAGCTGTAGTTTAACCAGATCAACAAAACATAAACTTTACTGTAACTAGTTTTCCATCGTGAAAACTCAATCTTTAGGAATAAAAAATAATAATTCTGAATCCTTCCCTTTTTTTGCAACTCAGTGAAGTAATTTCGAAATATGTATTGAAACATATATTTGTAATTTCCTAACTTCTCAACGTTTAATATTTAGGAATAGAAAAATTTGATAGTATCAATATTTCTGGGGCGTCTYTTGATCGGAGCTCGAATTAAATGGGCGTGGACTGAAGGTTACAGATCAACAAATAGTTTTCTTCGGCGACAAAGATTTTTGACCGCATTTTCGATATTATCATCAATAGTTCGCAAAATACGCCAAATTACTAATAGTCTAGTATAAATTGATAGTACCTTGTCCGCAAGGGTTAATGCCATATTGACCTTATTCAGTTTTCGACTAGTATTCGATGGCAACTGAACAGCTCAAGTATTCGAAACGTATATGTAATGTCAGTGCATCAAATTCTATACTCAAAATGTTTTTGAAAAGATTATTAAATTGCTTAAAGATGCATGTTAAGCAGGATGGTGTCTATAATTTTTTTTTTTTTTTCGAAATAATATAATATAATTTAGTTTAATTTAGTTTGAAAACTATAAAGGAAATAAAAACATAACTTGTGCTTTAGTAGTAAAAAAACCCTTAACTAATTCTAATGATTGTGGATTCTATCACTCAAAGATTTCTTTAATAGTTTTTGCAATTTTTCCAAAACTTGAATCCAAATTAAAAATACTAAAAGTTTTTACCTGTTTTCTTCTGTTCTATAAAATCCTTCAGGAATCTTTGGGTAGTTTTGCTGATTTGTTTGTCTTTGATCGACTGATGCTACTGCAGTCATTGCAGCCAGGTATTTATAGTGGCATGCATGTGTTGCATTATCAGAAGACAATACCATGCATTACATTGAAAAACTAACTTTGTTGCATAGGGTTACAGTAAAAAGGTGATAATAAGTTTCACGCGAATACACTTGATTGAGCAATCTTAGTCATTGTCCAAGCCTGTTACCTAGCTGGACATTAGAAATTGCCTGGAAAATCTAGATAAGAATAAAATTTCTTAAATTCTATATCAAAAAGATAATACAACAATAAAATAGTCATATTGGCTGCTTTACCTAGCGTTTGTATAAAACACCAGTCCAAAATCAACAGAATTRATTATAAAATTCGTTTTACCTTTCGAATACTTATTTATTTTCCTTGATAGGAAACAATTCGAATTTCCTTTTAGCCTGGTGTGTCACAGGCGACGCAAACCGACGTAAACACGAGCGTAAGCCTACACAATAAATTCTTATACGCGTTTGCCTTTGAGCTTGCGTCGCTTCTTTTAGTATATAGTCAGAACTAAGAATTGCGTCGGCTTGCGTTGCCGGGGCCCGGATAGTGAGAACCAGACTTTAGTGGTTTTCAGTTAAAGGAGCTCTAGTTGCTCTAGTATACCAGAGGGGAAAAACTGAAACTCCTTTACTTGGAAAATGTATTTTAGTTTACTGCTTTTAAAATATCTAACGTCTCAGTATCGTCCAAACTGATTGATAATATTTTTTTAAATTTTCTTTCTTTTCTTTCTTTCTTTTTTTYCCCCAGAAAGATAATTACACTGGTCAATCCTAAACCTTAATTTCACAAATCTCTAAAATAAGATGTTACATTTACTCACGACAAATAAGAAGAATTATTTAAATTAATTGCACACAATCAWGTCTATTCAACATGACGGCCATTGTTAAGACAGTGATGATATCCAAAGAATATTATATTCGAAAAGAAACAAAAAACAAAAACAAAAGGTTGAAAAAACAATAAGGTTTGAATACTAACCAAGTAGACTAGTCCACGTGCATGCATGGTTATTGTGGATATCTATTTAAATTGCTATGATTACACGCAGCGTATACTGGAATGCATATAGTGCGACATGCATGCCGTACGTACACTATTGTTCGCATTGGGACTGACCAGCAACCTGATATAGTTGCTAAGAGTAGCCGGCGATGACTTGTTAACTTCTTTAAGGAGCCGAATTCAACTTAATCATCGGGAGGCCATTACAGTTCTTTGAATAGTAATGATAAAAGGGTAAATTATACACCGTGAAAAGATGAAAAAAACTGACGTTCTCTTTTACTCCGACGTCAGTAAGTTTGTTCATCTTTTCACGGTGTATAATTTACCCTTTTATCATTACTGTTTCATTAGAAACACCGATGCAGCTCACACTAGTTTTTAGCTAGTTACCTCTTCTAGTTCTTTGAATAGTAATGAAATTTATTTTTTTGATTCGACTTTTTTGTATCTTCTGGAACAGAGATTGCATGGTTAAATATCAATAAATAATATTGAACCATGCAATCTCGCTACATTTCTTACTGAGACTGATGCCGCGAGCACAGTATATGGCAATGGAAATAATTGTTTAAAAAGTAAGGCACTTTTATTTTAATGTGGTTCATTCTTTAACTTTGTGGATAAAAAGACCTGCATAATGGTATATCGGCCACACGGGGGGTTAAAACAGTGAGCACTGTGAAGTCGAATTTGGGTCTAAAACGTTTTGAGACTGAGACAACGAAAAGATATTAAAACTATCATTTGAAAATAAATCAAGTTTATATATAATTGTTTGTAGAGGCTTGATAAGCCTGATTTCCACTGATTTGAGGTTTTTACGTGGCTGTTTTTGACAACCAATTGAGTTCAAAACCAACAACTTCAAGGTAACAAAGGCAGGTTTTGTCAAGACAACACACACACACACACAAAAACACCTTAAAAACAAAACTGTGTCTTTGGCTGTAAGAAGTCGTCGTAACCACTGGAGTTTAATAGAATCCCTCGAGCACTAAACACTGTGAAATACTGCAAAGTATTTAGCTCCGAGGATTTTAAGGTATTGATAAATTTTTTTGGACGACTATAAATGATGAAACTAGAGTTATTTGACAAGAAATCACCTGTATTGTCGGTTCTCCAAGCCGATCAGTAGAGTTCCCAAGAGAGGCCGCCTTTTGAATACTAAATTTTGATAGCACCTAATTGTTACAAAACATTTTAAGACCACGAGGATGTGAAAAACAATACTAACTGTTGAAAAGAAGTCACTTTGGTCGTAGTTTGAATTTTTACTCAATTTGTTGAACAAAATACCATTTCATACAATTAATTTAATATGCTGATAGTTACTATATATTAAGAGTCTGAAGAAAGAGTCCCGAGAAAAGTACCACCATTGAGAGTTTTAAAATGATTTAGAGACCATGAGCTATTATAATAAGTGATTTAAAAAAACGACCAAGCACTTTCAAAAATGTATTAGAATATTCGAAAATTAAAGATTTAGAAACTTTTAAACTTTCAATTATTTAAGGTGCACTTTAAAAAACGTTTTCTATTTATCTAGCGCACATTATATTCTGGGTCCATGTAAGAATGTTCGTGATAACTGTTTTTTTTTTYTTTTTYTTTTTTTTTTTTTTTTTTTTTTTACCAAGTTGAAAAATATTTTTAAAATGAAGTATCCTAGTTCGGGAACTGCCTCTGATCTGATTTTTAAGTCGGGGCGCGGTTAGCTCATACAACAAACTGGAATCGTTTAGGATGATGTTTTTGCGGATGGGCGACGCAAATTTTCAAACAATTCTTGAATCAAGCTTTGGTGAGACACAAATATCGACTCTATCACATGCGATCCCGAGTCAAGGAATCAAGGTGAGTGCTAATCAGCACTATACTACGGCACGGCAATACATTGCACGGTCAAACTTATGTATTATTAGGTTCAAAATTCTTCTCCAGATTTAGTTTAATCATACAGTCCAGTTGTAACCTTTTCGTCACTTGAGCATGACAAGTCACTTTTCAAAGTAGTATCAAAGTATTCGGTTCTCAAAAACATTGCTAAATGCATTCAACACTTGTCTACGCCCTAGGATGTATCACTACACATATCTTAAATCCTATTCACCCACACATAGATGTTTTATTAATCAGTTTCAGTTTCTGATTATTAAACTCTTATAGATATTGTGGATTTCAGCTTACGAGTTTCATACTGAAATATTTAATATGAAATACTATTTGAATTAAATAACGATGATTTCGTGAGATTGCTAATRATTTTGGATCCTCTTCATTGAATCATAGTTAATACTATTATGGAGCAAGATCGATCAGTTTACTATATAAATGCTCAGCCAGCTTTGTCATTTAATATCTTTGCCTTCATTACCAGACGTTGGCCTCTTCAACTGTAAATTGGCTAGCAAATTTAACACTTAAAGTTAAACCTTTTCAATGCAACAGTATGCTTGTTAGTTGCCAATACAAAATGGCATTGGTCTGTCAACTGTTTTGTTTAGTTGCTATGTAAGAAACAGCAGTACTGCTAGTTCCACGATGAAATTTTAGAAACCAGATTCAAATTGGCATAACTTTTAAATTCCATTCAATAACTCTTTGTTCTTAGGTCCAGTCCACATGTATCCGGAAATTTTTTTAAACGGCACTTTTTTTTATTCTTTTTTTTCCATTATTGTTTGCACGTAGCGTTTTCGAATCATTTTCGCTCGTCCATTTTGGAAAAAAATTGCTCTTGTCAAAAATGGGGTATTCTCCGGATATACTTGTAGACGTAAGGTCAATCTGCAAAGAAAAAAGATTCTTTTTTCGAAAATATCCCGATAGTTGTTGTCGGTTTAGTGGTCTGAATGAGTTTTTCGACTTATGCAACTTTCCGTGCGCTGATTGCCGGCCAAAAAGTTATCAAAGTAGAACTGAACTACAACCGATTRTTCTTGAATTAAATCTCGTGCTAAAATGTTTGCATCGTTACGGATTTTCTTCAACCGATGAAATGTGGTTTTGTTTCCTGTGTACCACCTGTCAGAATAATGTGATCCTTGATAAATCGTGTGTCTTTTGTTACATCAAGGGTGATGTAGCGCCGGGGATGCACTCGCTCCTCACCTCTTGGATGTCGAGTTCGGTTTCTTGGTCTCGGCATCACATGTGAGTACAGTTTGTTAGGTTTCTCCCYTGGTTCGAAGTTTTTTTCCGGATCCATTTTTCCCCTCCGAAAAACCCAATAAACTAAATTCTTATTACATCTGTGAGCTATATAACTCAGCAAGAGACTATGGTCTCTTGAGCTCATGCAGCCATGACTTAGATCAACCCGGGCAAGACGTTTTACGTGATCGATGAAATGAACCCGAAACCAAACTAATATTTTTAAGTTATCATCTTGAAATATAAAACAGGAACATGGTCACTGATAACCTGTTACTGAATCTTAGTAATAATAGACTGAATTGAACATTGGAAGAAACTGGATAAAGAAGTTTAATATAAAATTTATCGGAGACATCACCACGTTCTCAGTCAAGTTCGCCTCTTGCAAACCTTCTCACCAACTGAAAAGTACTCTTTTAATTATCTACCATATCTACTAAGATGTTTTCGATTCTTTCACATTTCACAAATTCTAAATGATTTTTGCTTGTAACTCTGTGACTTTTTACGTTTGCCGTAAATGAGGCTTAATTCGAAAGACTTTCTATGCTTTGCCGTCTCTTTTTCGGTTTCGCCTTCAATACTTTTTATCCGTCGTAAACGGTATCCTAAAGTATTTCACATTTTTTGTGTTTTTATTGTTAACTGTGGGTGCCATTGATAAATTCATTTTCTGTTATAAATTTGTYCTTTTTACAGTTTATCAGCTTTATCTTAGAAGTTGCTATAGGATGTCAATATAATTATTCGTCTTTGTTCAGTTCCCAGGATTTTGTCACGTGACAAAGAACGAGAAAGATAGTGATGAATCAAAAAGAAAGACAGAAAAAAAAACGAAGTAAGGAAGAAAAGAGAGAAGATAACTGAGAAAGAATATAAGATAAAACAAAGTAAAAAAGGAAGAAAGAACGAGAAAATATGAAGAAAAGAAAGTAATCTATAAAGCAATTATGAGAGAAAGGTGTAAAGAAGAAAGGAAGAAAGAAAAAAATGAAAAGGCCATGGAGAAAAAAAATCATTTGTCTCACCTTAAAGTTTGAGCATCAATACTGAAACTAAGCTATATAATGCGTAGGATAGAACAACGGTGGCAAACACACTGAAGACCAGTGTAAAGACTCACAACCACGCGGTACGTGCTAAGAATAATAATTACCATAGAATTCAGTGCAAGCTATGAATTTTTCGTTTGTTCTAGGCCGTCTCTTAAAATCAATCGTGCAGTCGTCTGAGTTTGTATCATTGTAAGTCTTGAAGATGGCACTTGACTTGTTGACAACGTACTTCGCACGAAAATCATGCAACACTGTCACTAGCTAAAACGTTCACTAACAGGTAGACTCGAAGGCTTAGAATACACTCGTCTATGTTAAAGTGTACCTAGGCATAATCCTTGATACAATACTTTCAGTGTGAATTTTCAAAAATCATTACTAACTGTACTTTCATCAACTTTTCTTACCTACCTTCACATTAGTTTTTAGCTAGTTATCTCTTCCTACCCTCACTTATGTAGTAACTATAATAATGGTGATCATGATAATAGTGATGGTAAAAATATTATATCATAATATAAATATATATATATATTTAAGTTGACTATCGCTAGAACTTCCTGAAAAAACAAATATAAAGAGAATGATATACCATAATGTTTGATATACTCTTGATATACGTCTTTGTATATTTGAAGCGGTCACAATTTTTGTAAAGCGATGTTATATATATATATATATATATTTATATTTAAAAAACTCATTAATAATTCATGAAGGAAACACAATAGAAATCATGACCATGAAGGAGGTTTTATATCTGATATAGATTCGTCTTCATTTGCATAAACTTTAACTTGGATTTTCTCTATCAAACTTGGTTCATTTCGTAAAGAATTCGGTGCAGTATGAGAACATACATCAGGAGTTTTTAAGCCGTTTAATAAACTCGCAGATCGTGTTTTATCGGGTCTAAAAACACTCCTGCTCGTTTATTAAACAGTACATAACTTTTGCTATAATTCTTATAAGAATTTGAGTTTCTTATAGGAATTATACACTATAGTAATAATAGCAAAAGTGAATATAAAAGCAATATACTAAGTAATACAAAATAGAAATAATTTCCACGATAAAAACACAATAAACGAAATATCCCTAATAGAGAAGCTCTGTAAATTCTACCGTCACAATGTGCAAACTGATCTTAAAAATTAGTTTTTGAATAAATCTTTTTTTGAATAACTCTATTTTATTACAATTTCAGTTCGTAATTCCAGAAGCACGTAACTAAGTGGTAGACTGTTCATGAAAACTCAAGCCATGTACACTGAAACAATGACAAAATATATGGATGTTCACTTAGTCTTATCAAAATTGGAATGAAAGTGAAACAGAAAAAAAATGGCGAATTGTTCACCGATGTTAAAATAGTTAATACAACTGATGACAAATAGAAGATGTACTTCCTTTATGGAAGTTGAAATGGAATTAGAAATGTTAATGAAATCTAATTACGTATTATAATACTTAGCATCTACGTACTTCGCCTTAAAATGTAGAAAATGGTGCTTGAAACAGACACACGACAAAGTAATAAAACCCACTCGACCAATACCTGTGAAATTAGTTAACATTACTTTTTTATGATGTATTGTGAGCAGATTCCATGGAGAATTAATACACTTATATTAGTGCACAGTTTATCAGTTTATCAGTCAGTGCGGCGCGCGCGAGAAATGAAGAGCAAACCCAATATTGACTAGTACTAGAAAACGTAAAGCTAGCCTCTGTCAGCCAATGAAAATGCCTTATTTCCCTTATGTCATGAACAGATAGTAAGTGCGACTACAAGTACATTCGTACTTTCTTACCTTACCTTATCCTACCTGTACTTTTACTTTTTTTATGGAGGCTTTCAGCGTGCGGCTCAGCTGCTCATTTCAGTTATGGCCAACCGTCCCTAAAAAACAACGTTTATAACACAACCATGTTCAGACGCACGCACTGTGTTTAAAGGTTCAAAGGTCAAGCATGTGGGTTTTCAGGTTGCCGTGTTTTATAGAAGTAGAGTGCTAAATTGATATGAATAACAATATCGATTATATTGGACTAACATATTTGCATAGTGGAACTCGAACTGAGTGGAGCCACACACGTCAATTCAAATGTATTTTTCCTGAACATCTATTGCCTACATGTTGTACTTAGGCTGGATAAGTTCTGATACCCACTTAAGTAGTCGATCATTAATATGAACGTAAAAGCTCTACTACCAATTGTCGCCTGTTGTTTCATGCTCTGTTAAGTCGTGCCTGCTTGCGATGATCACATTGATAACATTTATATAGGCAAATGTTGACACTAGCTATCGTTTTTCCTTTTAAATTAACAATCAAATCATATAATATAAGGAATACTGAGTTTTTTCTTTGTATTTAGTTTTGGATTCTTAACATGATCTCAAAAGTCATGATAACCTGTTATCTTGCTTCTCGTTAATAAGGGCGTTGTCTCAATAGACTTGAAGAGATTTAGAGACAAACACGAGCACGATAGAGAAAAATATTCTTACCTTTATTTGTTCGTCAGAGTAAAACGCATAGGGAGAGGTGAGGGAGAGAGACAGGAGGAGCAGGGTGGGGTATTAAGAGAGGTACTTTAGTGTAATATTTGTTCAGATTTTATTTGTTTTTTCAAAAATTACATGAGGCCATCTTAGGCGCAAGTGAATATCCGAAGAATGATTTATTTCAGAAACCTTACCGCATTCAAAAGAAGACAGTCTTGACTTTCTGTAAGCTAGCTTTTATATCTTCTCTTCTCTACCATATATAGATCCCTCCAGGGCTAGCATATTGGTCTATATTGCGGCTATTGAGAACATGTTAAAATATAAACGTCAATGAATTCACGCAAATATACAACTGCTTCAATATATCAAAGGAAACGCTTTGCAGGTTTCACATGCTAGGTCTCTATCAAAATTGTCATTTTTCGTCTGGTAAATAATGTGATATTCAGAAGACAGCCGGTAGTGACGTATTTTGGTCGTCTGGCGGTACTGAACTGACCAATATCAACTCAGGCAACGCAGAAAAAAAAAGAAAAAGTATTTGTTCCGATAAATACGGAATACTTGCACTAAGGGTGCTGTACCTTATGAATTGTGTTACCTCAAAAAAACGGAAAAGTTGAATTCTAGGCTATAAAATAAATATGAAATCGGCGTTTACCTGACTTAGTACTGAACATCACAATGGCAGGTGATAAACAGATTCCTCAACTGGCACTGTTTCTCGCTTGTTTTCTCTTGTTATCCCCTCGAGCGTTTTATGAACGACCTACGAGTACTCCGCACCAACAGTTAACCGCGGTTGTTTGGATGCCTCCCACAGAGAAATGAACGGTTTGGGTTTTTTTGAAAAGAAAGGACGCGTGCAGTCAATTTATTTGGGTTTGAGCTTTGTTTTTTGCGGATTAGAGAGTTTTAGACTCACGATTTTTCCTCCCTCAAACGACAAACATGATTACGTTTTCATCGTTTTCTTATATTTGCACTTTACCTTTTGACTTTTTTATCAAAGACAAATATTCTTTCTTTCCTCTACTACTTGGAGGTTCTTTTTCACTAATTTTAAAGAGGTTTTCACTGGTCAGCTGACTTTTCACGTTTGTCGTAAACGATATTCTAAAACTCTCAAAATTACGTTGGCACTGCAAACGTTGGAGGTCGTTGATTAGTGATAAATTACGTTATAAATTACCGAAAAGGAATCGCGAAAAATACAAGTAGTATAGAAAACAAAAGAATACTGGTGGGAGAAAGTTTGAAAAAGGTAAAGTAAAATACAGGAAAACGATGAAAACGTGGTCACGTTTGCCGTCATAATAAAAATAAAATGCCGGGAATAAAAAAATGTGAATCCAAAACTCTAAAAGCCTGATTTTCACGAGCGACGCAAGCATAAGCGCAAGCACAACGAAAAGGACAAATTTTGATCCTTGTTTTTGTCCTTGCGCTTGTGCTTATGCTTGCGTTGGACAATTTTCACGATGAAATAATCCCTCTTATGCTTGCGCTTGTGCTTGCGTCGCTTGTGAAAATCAGGCTCCCCCTCCCAAAATGAAGAAGAGGAGTGTAAAAATCGTATTTATTATTTCATTAATTTTATCATGCATTAGGAAAGCACGCATGTTGCGCGCTGCTATTGCGCCACCTCTCAGCGCTACTTTATGCATTGTTGTGGGTTATATGGAGCTGAGTTGTTTTTTTTCACAGCACTTTTAGTTGAGAATTTTTTTCAAAGTTTTCCGGCTTCCTACCCTCCGCAAGAATGAACTTCAAATTCCGATTCGATATTCGAAATCACACGCTAAAAGCCTCTGGCTAAAAAAAAAAAAAAAAACGAGAAGGATTTATTACCATATAACACCATAAGCATTTCATTACTAAACTAATTTAGGCGTTAGTAGACCACTTCAAAGAATCCTTGCACAGGTAAAGCACATTTACATGTTGTGATTGCTCTGAAAAGTTTACGCGTAATTTAATTGCGATGATTTACGAGAAGTAGAAATATGTTGGAATTTTATACGCGAAATTTTCCTTTTTGCGAAACTGAATATTTTAAAAATATCCCTTCCCGGATGAGAAATCACAATCCACTCACCAAAGTAGCCTACCTCTGCATAATCGGGCTGCACCATTTTCTAACCCATTCCCCTTCCCCTAAGATATATATTTAAACAATGGGCATTGACTAACAAAAGGAATACACTTATTTCGATAAAGTTAGTCAACTGAAAACCCATAAAGCTGAGGCCGACCAGGATTACGGGTAGATTCATTTTACACGTTCAACGGCCTGATAACGGTTTACGGACTTGCGAATCTTTTACCGGTTACAGTCTCACCTCTTCTGAGCATCATCGAGCTGCAATTTGTATTAAAAAAAGCTTTGTATATATATGCTTTTTTGATATGAAAAGTTTCCCATGATGCTTAGTGATCTAAGCTTTCTTGGTTTTTGGTGACTAACTTTATTGAAATAAGTGTATGCATCGTACAATGCACATTTTTTAGGTCATCTTTTTCTCTGTGTGCGAGTGCTTGTTGGTACCTCTCAATTCAGTGCTAAACCTTAGAAATTTTCTCATGTTGAATGCATTGCAAAACACTACTTATTTCAAAAGGTTTTCTTTCTTAATTTGATCTAATTTTTGGACTCAGCACGTTTAAACTGGGCTCTGTAGCGTCTTTTCTTAAGGCATTCAAGTCTTTTTCGGGCGGTAAGGGTATCTTGTAATTCGTTGACTAATATTCAGTTCAAAAGCAAAACACAAGCTAAGGCTAGCAGAAGGATGGTAGAAGAACTAACGATGCGTCACTGGTCACTATTTATTTTCATAACGAACACAAACTCTAAGCGTAAGTAATGAAGTGTCCCCAATCATTGCGTAAGCTAGACCGAGTAGACACTGTTTTTTTAAATAAGAATATTTAGAATTTAAGCCGTTGTTAAACTCCTCTATAACAGAGTAGAAGATTTAAGAACGCTTAGGTAGTTAGTAGGTTGTAAACACAATCAATTTTCTTTCCTTTCAGATGAGTCTCACAATTAAAAATGAGGTCGACAATAGTTTGCTATCAATAGACGTCACTTTCGGTAATAGCTCTTTTTTGATGGCTTGTAGAATCTTGGAGGTCGTTTTGATCTCTTGTTTATTGGTTTCATGTCGTAGAAATAGTCAAATACAATAGTTTGAGGACTTATTTTGATATGTTTTGACTTAGAATCCGCTAGTTGCCCCTCAGTTAACCGCTTGATTGCCCCCCAGTCAACTCCAAAAAAGTCACGTGATTGATAGTAAGCAATAATACATGGACCCAACTGCAACCGTAAATCTTGGCTACTACTATTTCAAAGACAACCGGGATGCGAATCAACATCGATTATTACTTAAGAAACCTCACAGTAGTATAAAAGTGGAGGCGAGGAGGCGAGTGTTTGTCATGACCGGCTGTTGCAGACTCGATGCAAATGTGAACTGGTCAGTGAGAACTGCATGTTTGTGATAATAATATTAAAAGTGCAAAGCACCGGATAGGTTATACAGTTTTGGCTTAGCGATATTGCACAAGAAGTAAAAGCAAAATGTCAGACGCATGATTTACAACCATTTACAGTAGGAGAGTTTTTATTTAGCTTCAAATTGATGGTTTTCACGACGGCCATGTTGGAGGAACTTAACAAAAGAATTACCAATGAATTCTTCTGTTATATCCTCCAACATGGCCGCCGTGCCTTTTGTTATTTAATTCTCTTGGGGATGGTTGAAAACCATCAATACTTGCTCGAGTTGCAGAACTTAAAATCTTTTTTCTTTAAATTATGGTTTCTTTCTTATAGTTTCGCTGGCATTTTACGCAACATCAGCTTCTTGCGCAAAACTGGTCACTGATATCCTTGCTCCAAAAATCAAAATCATTCAACCAAAAATCATTGCGCAAATCCCGTTTAGCAGAGCATATGGAGATTACTTCATGGAAAGCGCGCGCGTACGGGATTTTCGCACGAGTTGGTGAAGTATCTGAAATCGAACGAGTGAGCGAAGCGAACGAGTGAGATTTCAGATACAAAACTAACGAGTGGGAAAATCCCGTACAAAGCGCTTTCCATGCTGTAATTTATTTATTTTAT